TCTGCCCCCCCTTCGTCACTCGCTGCGCAGGGGGAGGCACCGATTCCCTATGGATGCGGCAGCCAGGAGCGATACCTGCGGGAGAGCGAGGGCAGGGGGGCACACGGCAGCCAGCGGGGGGGACACGGTGACCAGATGTGTCCAGGGGCTGCCAGGACACACGAGAGAGTGGCAAAGTGCGCACAGCCCTGGGCGGCTCGCGGCAGCTTGCAGGAACACACGTGTGCGCACGCCATGGGCTGCAGGGACACACGTGGGTGCACATCCCATGTGCTGCAGGGACACACGTGGGTGCACATCCCATGTGCTGCAGGGACACACGTGGGTGCACATCCCATGTGCTGCAGGGACACACGTGGGTGCACATCCCATGTGCTGCAGGGACACACGTGGGTGCACATCCCATGTGCTGCAGGGACACACGTGGGTGCACATCCCATGTGCTGCAGGGACACACGTGGGTGCACATCCCATGTGCTGCAGGGACACACGTGGGTGCACATCCCATGTGCTGCAGGGACACACGTGGGTGCACATCCCATGTGCTGCAGGGACACACGTGGGTGCACATCCCATGTGCTGCAGGGACACACACGTGCGCACACCCCACATGTTGCGGCGCCACATGTGCATACACCTCACATGCATGCACAGCTGCAGGGACACACACGTGCACACACCCCACATGCATGCACGGCTGCAGGGACACACACGTGTGCATACCCCACATGCATGCACGGCTGCAGGGACACACGTGTGCACATACCCCACATGCATGCACAGCTGCAGGGACACACACGTGCACACACCCCACATGCATGCAGCGCTGCAGGGACACACACGTGCGCACACCCCACATGCATGCACAGCTGCAGGGACACACACGTGTGCATACCCCACATGCATGCAGCGCTGCAGGGACACACATGTGTGCACACACCCCACATGCATGCACAGCTGCAGGGACACACACGTGCACACACCCCACATGCATGCAGCGCTGCAGGGACACACACGTGCGCACACCCCACATGCATGCACAGCTGCAGGGACACACACGTGTGCATACCCCACATGCATGCACAGCTGCAGGGACACACATGTGTGCACACACCCCACATGCATGCACAGCTGCAGGGACACACACGTGCACACACCCCACATGCATGCAGCGCTGCAGGGACACACACGTGCGCACACCCCACATGCATGCACAGGTGCAGGAACACGCACGAGAGCGGACGCCCCACGCGTGGG